TTATTATAATAATTTAAAATAATCTATCTACTCTCTTATAAAAGCGTACAATATGCTAAAATTAACGCTCTAGACACGCCTCCGCAGTATCTAGCCACGATTGTAACGGGCTGAACGCCCTTCGCCTCCCATACTCGTCTACGACCTCGTTTACTCCACCTGCCCGGCCCGATTGTTACCCTAGCAACCAGCATTGTATATAGATAGCTACGTAGCCGAGAGCTTAGCTCTCTATCGAATACAATCTTGTTACCTTGGCCTGTCCGATCGTGCTCCCGAGCTTAAGACTACCCTCCGGGGTCGAGCCCCTTACAACGATTAGAGGTTCTATCTACTAGGCGTAAGCTATCACCTATTAAGAAGCAGTCTCTTGTTTAGTAGATTCTAGAGCTAGATTAACAAGGCTTTCCGCCTTATATTATTAACGTGCGATAGATAGCAGACGCGTTACTTATAGCGCGTGGCCAAGATCCACCTCCATAATCTATAGGCAAGAAATAGGTGTCGCGCTTTATCTAGAGCTAGCTAAAGCTTTAAATAAAGTAAACTAGGAGATTATATAGCTAGCGTGCCTCCTATAAGGATCCTATTATAATAGTAGCCTAGTTTAAGCTAGTAGAGGAGACGCGCTAGGCGTATAGTGTCCTAGATCAAGATATCTACAACTTTAATAAGACTAGCTTTGCGATAGGCGTTGCTAGCACGTCTAAGGTAGTTACTAGCTTTAATAGAGTTAGTTGCGTAGTTATTATACAGCTAGGCAATTATAAGTAAGTAATAGCTATTAAGTGTATTAATGCATCTAGCTAGTGTCTTCTACCCTTTGTAATCCTATCTAGTAAGGTCTACTAGGATATTTGGTATTGTAACCTCCTATTAGACTAGACTATTAGCGTTTTAGACAACAGCTAGACAATAGACGAGCTAGGTGTAGAGTATGTGAAGCACTTTAACTAGTATATAGCCGCTTGTACGGCTAGAGTCTATCGTCTTCTTATTCTAGACAGCTACAGTAGCCACGCTACGCCAGAGTTTGACTAGTACTGCACAGAGAATAAGATTATCACTCTTTGTATGCCGCCTTATACGTCGCACCTCCTGCAGCCTCTAGACGTGAGCTGCTACTCCCCTCTTAAGCGCGCGTACGGACGCGAGGTCGAAGAGCTCGCCTACTATAGCGTCTACTATATTAATAAGATAGACTTTCTTACAGCCTATATATAGATCTAACTAACTATATTCACGCAGCAGAACATCTAGGCAGGCTTTTAGGCGACAGGCCTTGTCCCTCCTTATCTAGATCGCGTCCTATCGTCGCTAACTGTTGTCTAGACGCTGTCTCCACCACAAACTACTATAGATAACAACGTTATAGCGCAGATAGTAGCGTAGACAGAGACACTATATATAGTAGCAGAGGTTTAGCAGCAGCTACGCTATCTCTAAGAGCGACTGCGCTAGCAGCTAGAGAGCCTAATAAGCGTTGCAATACTCTAGCTTACGAAAAGCGCTTAGCTTATAATATAATTAGCAACAATACTTATAAAGAAGAATAAGAAGCTACGTATAGAAAATTAACGTTAATAATAGAAGTAAAGTTAGCAATGTTAATATATAGCTTTTAGTAAAGTCCTCTAGGTGTAGTAGGCTTAGCAGCTTACTATAGAGGTAGAAAGGGTGGTTATAGAGGCTAGCTAGAGCCAGGCGGGTGAGAGACGCTAGCGCGCGCCGCTAACGTGCACGAAGTGCCACACCTAAGGTTATAAAAGGACTTAATATAGACTATAATAGAATACCTTATAGTAAAATATAAACATATTATCTCTTATTGTTATGGCTTAATTGTGCAAAATGTCGCGTTAAGTTTAGTGGGGCGGCCAGCTTACTGTTCCGGCCAGCTTACTGATCCCGCACGTTAGATGCATTCACATAATTCTTACGTATAACCACATGTAGTGCAGTCCCTACATAACCATATTCAGAATCCAGAATCACACATGAGAATATAATGTGTGTAAGTAATAATGACATTTAATTTGCCATGTCACCACGTCTTATTTGCGTCATTCCGCCTTTTTTTTTTGGACGTGCGATGGAGTAGAGTAAGCGCTTCTTTGTTATTTCCATTCTCCAGGAAAGAGAAGGGGTGTGGGTTATACTTGTATGAGGCGCGCGGTGGTGATAGTGATGTCCATGGCAATAGCATAGTGATTATTTGCACGTGACATGTACATAGCCAAGCGTCTCTTACCCTTGTAAAAAAAAACAATCATATGTATCTAGTTGTTCTTATCACTACATCATGTAAGAGCGGCGAAAAGAGATGCGTTGTGCTGTTCTGACGTTCTAGTCTTCATCATGTGATGCGCCGACCTCGCCGCGTCTGATTCAAGACGGAGATTTGCTAATAAACGTCTTTCGTCATCCACGCGGCTCATAGCATGCAGAGCTAATTAGCGTTAATTTCTGACCTTGCAATGCGAGCCCCTAGATACAGCACGTGACTCATTTTAAATATGCAGCTAGAGCAGCAAATAATAAAGGGTTGCTGAGTTATGTAGCTTTAATCTCTTCTATCCACAGTGCACTCGTTCATGCTGTGGGGGAACTGCTTCATTAGCGTCTGGAATCACTCGTGAAACAAACTCCACACACCACATACATGCAGCACGACGCAAACGGCAATCGAGTTAGTGAGAAAGCAGAAAGAAAAAATATTGTACAATTTCATGCGCATGATGTGACATCTATACTAATCCATATTCTGGCGTCGAGGCAACCCAAATTCTATCATTTCGTGCTCCGATTTTCCGTTTCTTTTTGATTTTTTCTTCTTTCTCGGTTCATGGAGAGTCGAGAAAAAAAGAAAAGAAAGAGAGAAAAAAACATTAGCACTGGGGTATCAAAGCAAAGCAAAAAAGGTAGAGTAAAATAAAAGCAAAATAACGAATACAAACAAGAAGCGGAGAAAATCTATATGCGCGCTTACCACCAACACAAGGAGATTGTGAGAGAAAAGGTGAGACAGAGAAAGAGAAGAAGAGGAAAAAGCGGAAAGCGAAAGCAAAGAGCATGAGTCATATGAGCCATCATTGCATGTTAGTTGTTCTTCTCCCCTAGTTGTGAGTCGCATACATGTGTAAATGTTCATGCATTTGTGGTGCCATGTGACGATATACTTGTGATTGTTGGTGCATCATGTGCTGCTGCGTCTGTTGCTGCTGTACATGGTGTTGCATTTGGTGATGGGGTGATAACTGCTGCTGCTGCTGCTCAGGCGTATGCCGCATGCCCAAAGCAGCAACGGGGTAATCCGTATTCATGTCCGACATGGCTTGACTCATGTTTGAAGGTGACCTGGAATGGGTGGAGCTACTTCTAGAGCCGTTCAGACGACTTCCGATTTTGTGAAGGGGCTTTGAAATGATTTGACCGAACGAGGGACGGTCGTAGTATTGGGATTCTTCAAACTGGGGTGGTTGGCCGAAATAGTTCGGGTACATTGCCCCCAAGGGGTTAGGCGTGGCCTTGGCCTGATCAATGTACTCGTTAGAGTACATGTGAGCTTGGTGATCGTGGTCCATGATTGGGGTATGTGGATTGGGTGTGTGCATCGTGGCTGTAGTCATAGCCGGTGGGAGATCGGGAATAGCCGGTTGTGCCACGGCAAGGTAATCTCCAGGGTCCACATCCATGTAGCTGATACGTTGATTTGTGGTATCGCCAGCAGGCGACTGCGGTTCCAGAAACGGGGACGATGCACAGTCATGATCGGGTACATGAGATAAGGAGCTGCTCGCGCGGAGCAAGGCGGCGTTGATGGTTGCGAGGCGGGCCCTGGCGGCATGCGGGTTCGAGTTACCGATGAGGATGTGCATCCGCTGCTCGCGCGACAGCTTCTCGACGTGCGGGACAGAGTCCCTCGAGGGCGTGACGAAGCCTGGAGGTAGCTGCTGATGCACAGGGTCCAGTGGCACATCGGAACGTAGGCTCAAGGCGGTGATCAAGACTTCTTCCCGACTCGGCCGGAGGTCACAGCACTGAAGCTTTTGCCGGAGGATTCTCGTATTATCGGGACACCAGCTGATTTGCGAGCGGCTCTCGCGTAACCGTTCATCCAAGCAGGCTATCAGCTCCTTCCATGTATCATAGAGAGCCTCTTGCCGAATTAAGTTGCGTATTACATTAGAGTATTTCCACTGGTCGGCAGTCGCACCGTTCTTCATATGCTTGGCGACATGATCGCATCGCTCGTCCCACCCGATGCTGACCTCTTTGCACTTGTCGAAGCCACAGCCAAAGACTCTCCGCGGGAGCAGGGAGATGCCGATGTCGGTTAGAGAGGGCAGGGGACGGCCGGTGTGGTAGCGCTGGTGGTGCTTGATGAAGTCCTTCTGGCGGTCAAAGATGCGGCTGCAGCCGTTGACAACACACGGCCAGTCTTGGCCGGTTTCGTGCATCCTCATCTCATGCTTCTTCCAATCGGATTTGGCCTTGAACGTCTTGGTGTTCTTTTGCTCGGCGCAGTAGGTGCAGAACATGTAGGATTCACCAGACTGGCTCTGTGACTTGTCGTCATCGGCAAACAAGACGGGTGATGCGACGCTGATGTCATCTGTCGGGGTGCTGCTTGGTTCGATTTTGAGGTCAAGTGGACTGTCCGTGTCCGAGGGCATGGCGGCAGGCACGGGTCGGGTGGGATCGAGTCCAGCTGGGTAGGAACGGGGCTCTGGTCGCTTCGGCTCTGATCGCTTCGGCCTGGAGCGCGACGAGGACGAAGAGGCGGCCGTGGAAGCCCTGCTGGTGGTGGACGAAGAGGAAAAGGCCGAAGCCATTGACAAGCGGGAGCGCCATGATGAGCTGGATGAAGAAGTGGCAGCTGAACTGGCGGTGCTGGTGGACATGAAAGATGAGGCTGTGGAAGTGCGGCCTGGAGTCGGTGAGCACATGCACAAGAGGGGGGGGGGCGCAAAACAAACTACATACGCGAATCGATGGCTTGTGAGAACATGCGCTGGATCAGATGGGGCGGGTGTTTTGCCAGCAGGGCCTCGATATGTCGCATCGACTCCTCTGGTATGTCGAGATTGTCGTCCATGGTTGGCGGAGTGGCCGGGTGGTCAAGGCAGAGTAGAGCAGAGCGTCGGGCTTGGGGCTGGGAGCTATGGCGACATGCCCATTGAGCCCCGCGCAACAACAAGAGCAAGCAAACGATTGTGGGCGTGCGAGGAGCGAGGGACAGAAGCGCAAGGGGGGGAGGAGGAGGTGGTGGTGGTGGGGGAGGGCTCCAGGTGGGAGTGTTTGTGAGAGCGAGAGGGCGCTCGAGAGACTAGGGGCCAAGGAATGGAGAATCGTGCATCCGGGCAGGCATCAGCTGCACTTGGTGCGACAAATTGATATACGGGCGGGATCACCTCACACGCACGAGGGCGCGGCGGGGAGCGCGGAAACGGCACTCTTCTAGAAGACGTATCGAAGGATTGTAGAAGAAGCTAAACGCGGTGTTGCTCGCCGGGGCGCTCGTGCGCAGGCGCCGACAGGGCCACGACCCTGGTTTTGGCCTCAAAGCTGGGGCAAGGCTGAGGCTGCGACAGGCACGCCAACATGTAGCGTGTTTGAGTTTGGGGCGATGTCCGGGTGCGTGGGGCTGGTGGAGGAGGGGAGGAGCAGCAGCAGCAGATGTGGAGGAGGACGTGGTGGAGGAGGTGGAGGAGGAGTGGCGGGGAGGCGTGTGGGTATGTCTCGCTGCCGGGCTGGTGTGTTGTGGCGGAGAGGGCAGCCAGGGCAGGTCGAGTGCGTAGACAGCGGCCGCCGAGCAGATATGTATTATGTATGTACCGCCATGTAATGTAGCCATCAGCGAGTGGGCGGGCGGGCGGGTGAGCGAGCGAGCGAGCGAGTGCGTGCGTGGGGACACGGGGGCTCGTCCGGGTGTGTCCAGGGGAGGGCCATGATTCGCACAGGTGGGCGTGTGGATTTGCTGCGGCTTGTCTGTCCATTGGCAGCATGGTGGCCCGGTAGGGGCTGGGGGCTGGGGGGCATGCAGCCAGTGAGTGAAAACTTTGCAAACCCCTCGATGCTGCGGGTGCGCACGTGACCGGGTAGTAGAGGGAGCGGCGCGCGGCACGTCTTGGAGAGCTGCTTTGATTCGTGCTTTGGGGGGGGGGGGGTTCCGCGGCATTGGCCAAGGCCGAGAACATGGCGCTGCAGAAGGCGACCTTGTCGTTATGGCAGACTATTAGGTGTAGGGGAGAGGAGGATGGGACCATGTGTTGGGAGGGGGCGCTCGTCTCGGAATGCTGCATTCGGCGAGGCCTAGGTGGCAGCGTTGTGCCTGTTTGGACGGGGCGGCGCTGCGAAGATGGCTACGACGACGACGAGGACGAGTGCGACGGGACTTTCCAGCGTGGCCCAAGTCTGCGACAGAGCAATATGGTGGCTACTGACCAGGCGTGGTTGGGTCATGACAAGCTTTCAGCCGCGCAGCTGTAACGATGCCACAGGCACAGGCGTCGGGCAACCATTTGCTGGCGGGAGGGGGCGACGCAGGGAGGGACGTGCGCCTGCCGTCAGCAAGCCCTTGTTGTCAGCCACCGTGTCTGGCGAGGAGCGTGTTGGCGGCAGCGGCATGCGACAGTCGGGGGCGCCGATTGCTGGGCTGGGCTGGGCTGGGCTGGGCGCGGATGGACGCATGGATGGATGGACGCAGGACGGGCGGACGGGGTGCATGTATGTATGTATGTATGTATGTATCTAAGTATGTATGTAAGTGTGTACTATGCATGTGCGTGCGTATACTACCACTGCGGTACTGGAGACAGACTGGCAGCTCCACTGGTTCGCGAGGGCGGGCGCGCGTGTGGGTGCCAAGCAGCAAGCGGCGGCCAACCGAGGGCGCCCATCGCTGCCCACACCAGCACAAGCACACACACATGCACTGCGAATTATCATGATGATTACCGTCATCCTTCCTGGACACGACATGCACTTGGTCGCTCTGCATCACTCACCCACTCACTCACCCACTCACCCTCTCACCCACTCACCCTCTCACCCACTCACCCTCTCACCCACTCACCCTCTCACCCACTCACCCTCTCACCCACTCATCCTCTCACCCACTCACCCTCTCACCCACTCACCCACTCACATTCACCTGCGTCGCCCTCTTGCAACTGGACAGTCAGCCGCCGTCGCGAGTAGAATTCCAACGGCCTGCATGCCACGTGGATGCGCGCATGCATACATACGTACATATACATGCTTAGCATGTGCGCGACTTTAACTAACTTGCAGCCACCCACACATACATCCCTGCCCACGACAATCTCCTTCAAATCTCCTCGACATTGTCACCCACCAAGGTCCCTGACACCACCCAAAGGCCCGTTCCCACCACACGCTAAAGTACAAAAATGGGCCCATATCATACCATGGTGCATCCTGTGGTATACACAAGCCCCGGTTTTTTCCTTTCTTTCCTTGTCCTAACCAAGTCTATTCTACATACTTACTACTACTACGAAAAAAGAAACATGCTCAATGGTTAATCCCTGTCATCCAATCTCCTACCCGCAAACTAACCAAGGTCCGCATCATGTGACTTTTTTTTTCTTTTTTTCTTTTTTTTATAAGTACTTTTTTTTCTTGTCTTTCTTTTCCTTCCGAGGAAATTGTATATATGGAAATCCCCCCTTTTCGAGTTTACTTGCAACTGTACATATGGGTAACTTGGCATGGTGGGAGGGCATCGATGGGGGGGGGGGCCTTGGTACACGGCATGTGGGTGGGTGGTCACTTTGTAGCATTGTTCTTGGATACGCTCTGCAGATATGTGTGTAGATAGACATAAGCGCGTCACTGCGATCTTGTACTGTGTAGTCTACATGGATGTAGAAATCAATAGCATCACTGCCATGTTGTATTATCTACTTTACTCTACCTGCTCAACCATGCCAAAATCACTTATCAACAAACAGCAACAGCACATGCACGCTAACACGGTGATGAAACTCAATTGAAATAAGCGTTTGATTGCAACAGAAGCAGACTTGGCCTAGACCTTCTTAACTGATATGTTATGTACTATTAGCCAAAGCAGAAGAAGAAGAGGAAGAAGAAGAAAAAACTCTTTACAAATTTTTTTTCTCTTCATACCGTGAGTTTGTCTAGGCGTGGTTTGCGAGATAGAGACCAAGAAAGGAAAAATGCTGGGTGGAAAAGTTTGTGTTGAGAGTGGATGCAGAGAAGAATAAAAGTAAAAAGAAGTAAAAATACAAGCAAGAAAGGATATCAGCCACAAACACGAAGCAGACAGAGGAAGAGATAATGAGAAAAGCATCAAGAAATACCTCACACAAAGTTGCCATCGCAGTCGAAATCTCCCGCAGTCCTGAAGTTGCACGAACTGTTCTGTCCACCACCGGTAAAATGCACATCCTCCATGGTGATGTTACTGCAGCTGCCCTCGCCACACAGAATATAGTAGTTCTTGGCCTTCTTGAGCGCCGTGCCCGTAACATTTCTCATGACGACATTGCGGATCTGGACGCTGTTGGTAGGATGACCGGTAGGCCCGCCGTTGAGGTAGTCCTGCTGGATGTCGATGCCGTAGATGGACGCATTTTCAACGCGGATGTTTTCAAACAGGATGTTTGCAATGTAGCCCGTCGTGTTTGAGTTTGATTTTATGCGCGCCCCGTTTTGCGTGTTGAGCACGACCGAGTCGCGGAACGTGACGTTGGTTACGTTGTTGTCTGGCAGAATTGGGCGTTAGCGTAGGTACACACACACACACACACACACACATGGTTGCGGGAGATGAGATGAGGTGAGACACAAAACACGTGGGGTGGAGGGGGGGGGGAAGAGGGGAATGAAACATACTTGATTTTCCGCCGACGGAGCCAATAGAAAGACCGTGGCTGCCGTCGCAATACATGTTTGATACCGAAATATTGTTTCCGCTAGTGACGGCCACGCAGTCGTCCTGGTTGAGGACCGTGCTGTGGCGGATCCGCGTGTTGTTGGAGCTGGCGATATCGAAGCCATCGCTGTTGTGCGCGGCGGCCTTGCCCTTGGAGCGCTCGTTGGGCGCGTTGCCAGCCGTGTTGTTGAGCATAATGGAGTGGATGTCGAGGCCGGCACAGTTGCTGATGCTGAAGCAGTGCACAGGGTAGTTCTCGATATACAGGTCGTGGATGCGGCTGTCGCCCGTAACCTTGCTGACCTCGATAAAGTGGTTGGGCTTGGTAACGCCGCCATTGCTGCCGAGCCCGTCCCACCATGCCTGGCCGTTTCCGTCGAGCACAGCGCCCTGCGCAGCCGACACGTCGATGTTGCGCCCGCTGACTTTGATGAAGGGGTAGTTTGCGTTTGCGTACTGCCAGAAGGTGCGGCCCTGGAAGATGACCTTGGCCCCGTCGCACAGGTGGGTGAGGTCCATGGTTGCGTTGCCAGGCACCGTGATGCCGTCGAGCGTGATGGTGTTGCATGCTGCCACAGCAGCGGCAATGCCGGCGAAGTCTACCACATGGCACACATCGGTACTTGCCGCCGTATCCTGTGTCGGATGTGCAATGGCTTCCCCAGAAGCAGCGAGAATCAATAGCGCAGAAAAAACTGTGTGATGGGTAGTTGGTTAGCATACCACGCCCCCCTGAGCCGACGTAGACGAGAACTCTAAGTACTTACCGTCGGAAAGCATCCTGGACGAGACGTGCGGTTGTGCGGATGCTGCTATTGCCAGGGAGCGCAGACGGGTACACAGGTATAAGAGGGCATTAACAAGATGAGAGCATGATGTACGCCATCTAAATACGACCAAGTTGATTGTCTTGCAAGACAGACGGCGCGTATTGGCGCTGGACCCTAATTCCACCGGAGCGACTCCACCGTTCAAACAGGGGCGCTCCTGGTATGGAGCGGTCGCGTTATTCCCGTTTTTGCAGTGCACAAGCAACCGCAAGCACCAGAGCCAAGCGCAATCAAGACTATTGCGCCGTAGTAGGGCTGGTGGCCGTGGGACGCCTCAATCTCCGCCTGTACACGGTTGGAAAAAGCATGCAGCATTCCAGTAGCCCGCGCTCCTTCAATTGCAATCTATGCGGCTGGCCATGTATGTAGTCCAGCGTGCGGCATGTACATGGATAAGTACATAGCCGAGACGGAAGAATGCGGTTCCGTCCACAGACAAGACGGATGCGAGCGTGCGCGCGAGGGGCAACAGCAATAGCCATGTGCGCGCACGCCGGCGGGAATAAGACACGAGTGAGAGTGGGAGTGCGAGTGCGAGTGGGAAAGAAGGAGATTGCGCCGCATGCTCGGCAACGCACAGAGAAAACGCTAAGCATGTCGCACGCGGCAAGGCAGCGGGCAAAAAGGCATGATACAATTATCCGCGTGTTTCACCACGGCCTTGGCACGCTGCTGCTCACGGCGGCGGGCCAGCCTGCAAGACGCCGGTGGTGGAGACCAAGAATCCTCAAGACCCCCACTCCCTACATGCCAAGATGCTCGACGCTTGCCCACGCCGGCTTTACTGCTGCCCCTCTGACCTACACCGGCACGCCAAGAGCACAGCGACCTCTCCTCTCCTGGATTTCCTCGCCTTTGGCTTCGGCCCATTCACTTGTCACTGGACGTGCTAATGCCGCACACGCCCATACCATGGTCACCCATGCCTGTTTGGCCAGCACACGGTAAGCAGACAGCCTCTCTTGGCCTGCCCAGACGGCCGTCAGCCAGATGGCAGCTGTCAAGATACCAGCATTGGTGTCCGAGATTGCTCACGAGAAATGACCATGCATCTGCCAAGCCTCTCGCAACGCCCAGCAACTTTATAATCTATCTACAGCACCTCTAATTTTTCAGTGCGCCTCGACGCTCTCCCCTTTCTTTTCCGCACCGCTGCCGCTTGCATGCCGAAAGTCGGGCGTGCTGGGTCGTGACCTCTCCACGTCGAAGAAGGCTATGTTTTCCCTCACCGCAACATACTCGCTGTCTGCGTACCCCAATGCCTCCCTGATCTGCGTCGAGTGCAGCCCCATGATCCGCCGAATCTCCGTGGCCGAGTAGTTCACAACCGCCCTTCCAATCTCAAATGGCGCAGGGTTGTGCAGTTCAAAAGTCGGAGAGTGAGGGGCTGCGTGGTGGCTGTGGTTGTGGTGGTGACTGTGAGAGGACGTCATCGAGTGCGTGAGTGGGTGCCGGACGGGAATTGGGGCATGGACAGCGTGGGCCGCAGCGCCAGGAGTCGTGGGGGGATGGGCGGCAGTGCCTGATTGAGAGGATTTGGACGAGTGGCTGATGTTGGAATGCAGGCGCTTCACCACGATGATGCGGACAGCTTCCTGCTGGGCAAAGTGGCCGTCCACGTCTACGATTCCAGCTGGGAGGAGGCCGGCTTTACCACTGAGCGCAGTCCAAGCACCTTGGTCAATGTATATGGCTCCGTGAGGCGCCAGACCGTGCAGAATCCAGAAGTAGCGGTCGCGTATGGGATTCGATATGGGAAGGAAGCGCGTGTGCAAGGGACAAGGCTCCTCAGTCTTCGGCGTCGATGTTCCTGCGAGCTTGTCTGCCAGCGACGAGGTGGATGCCGCAAGGTCGTGGTGTGAATCTTGCAATGCTGCATCGTCCTGGAAGTTGGTGACAGAGTTCCGGCTCGACATCCTCGACTTGCGGTGCTTCTCGGCATGCGCAATAATGCTCGAGATATTACCTGGCTTGCTACTCTTGGTGATGACTGTAGTCACGCCCGCACTAGTCGCCAGCCGTGCCGCTACTATCTTCGTGCTCATGCCACCCGTGCCCAGCGAACTTCCCGCAGAGCTGACATCAGCGGCCAGCTCAGAGATATCCTCGACGACCGTGATCGACTTGGCATCGGGGTTGGAGCGCGGATTCTTGTCGTACAGGCAATCCACATCCGTCATGAGGAAGAGATAGTCGGCCTGCACCATTCCCGCCGTAATGGCGCTCAACGTGTCGTTGTCGCCAAACTTGATTTCCGTAACGGCCAAGGTGTCGTTCTCGTTGACAATGGGAATCACGCCCATGCTGAGCAGCTCAATAAACGTGTTCTGCGCATTCTGATACTGCGTCCGATCGGAAATGTCGTTCCTCGTCAACAGCACCTGTGCGATTGGCTGCTCCAGATTTCCAAACAGCTGATCCCACAGCGACATCAGTCTGCTCTGACCAATGGCCGCCAGTGCTTGCACTTGGGGAAGGTGTTTCGGACGACGTGGGAGGTTCATGCGGCGCAGACCAACACCAATGGCGCCCGACGACACGATTACAACATGGTGGCCCGCAGCGCGCAGGCTGCATGCTGTCTCGACAATGAGCGACAGGATCGAAAGGAGCGGCTGGTGGGTTTTCTCGTCGACGATCGAGGATGTTCCTGCGTGTGTCGGTCAGGCGTCCTCTTCTTTTCGACGCAGAGTTTGTACTGTATGGTATTTACCAAGCTTTATGACGACCGTGAGCTGGCCAGGGTGCTTGCGCATGTGGACGGCCATGGCGGCGGTAGGCGTAGGTGTCGAGGTCGCAGCAGACGGCGAGCGGTATAAAGACAACTGAGAAGAGATTGCAGCCCTCGGCCAGCCACGATTCAAGACCCGCAACCCCCCTTTGGGCTTGCGCGCAATAGATGACTGGAACAAGCCCAAAGTTCCCTCGCAAGCGATGTTCGGGGCCTCCCTTGCTCCTCGCTGCGGCTGCGGTGACGTCTGTGCTCCGATTGGCTCCCCGCGCTTCCCATGCTGCCGCTCCCCCATCCCCACCCAAACTTTTCGCGACGGGCAATTCACCCCCCTCCCCCCCCCCCCAGCGCGCGCCCTACTGTTGAACAAGCGCCCAAGACACCGCCAGTCCGCCAGACACACCGCACCCAGCCCAACCCCTCGAAGCCAAGAATGCCCAACGCCGAAACAGCGCCCGACGGCGCCTCCCTCTCCGCCATGGCGCAGCCGCCCCCCGCCAAAATCGACCCCGTCTACTACACGTGGTCGAGCGCCTTCAACATCATGCTGGGCCGGATGACGGGCCAGCGCGACATTGAGCTGGAAAAGGGCTACTTTAGCGAAATGGACACAATCAAAGCCGACTCCATCTGCAAGCGCTGCGAGTCCAACAAGGAGTACCTGCTGCAATACAGCCCCGTCATCCGCTTCATGCAAGACGAAGTGTACAAGCTGGGCGGCGACCTGAACAAAGACAACATCCTGTGCCGCATGTGCACCAACGAGCAGAGCGGCGGCTTCTCCCTCGAGCACGGCATCCTGCTCTGCGCAAACAAGTTCCGCAATCGCGGCCACCAGGAAGATACCATGGCGCATGAAATGGTGCATGCCTGGGACCATCTCAAGTTCAACGTCGAGCCCGACAACCTGCGCCACCAGGCTTGTCTGGAAATCAGGGCCTCGACCCTCTCGGGCGAGTGCCGGTTTACACGGGAATTCTTCACGCGCAACCAGTGGAGGATTACTGAGCAGTTGCAGGCTTGTGTTAGGAGGAGAGCCACGCTGAGCATGCTGGCAAGACCGGGCATCCGCGACCAGGAACATGCGGGCAAGGTGGTCAACGAGGTTTGGGAAAGCTGCTTTAGGGATACGAGGCCGTTTGATGAAATTTATCGGTGATGGCAGTGTCAAGGCGCGCGAGTTACCGACCGACTGTTGTATGATTATGTGTACGAGACTGTTGTTGCAAACATGCATAGCGAATGGCGTTTACATTAGCAAAGTCGAAGAAGAGGCATCACAATCTTCGCTCAAAACTATATAGAACAGAACAATTAAACGTGAAATATGATCTCGCATTGATGAAAAGGGGCTCGTATGCAGTACTCAAACACCGGAAGAATAAAAGACGGTGGTTAGCAGAAACTCCGAGTAATGCAATCAGATCAAACAACTCCAGTGACTTCCGTGTTGCGCCTCTTTCGCCATCGTAGATGTTAAACGTAAAGTAAATGGCATCAAGCTTCGACTCAGACGCTCTCCTGAGACGCCTCTGAGCCACCGCGGCTCTTAGCAGAAGTACGTTCATACGCCCTGGCGCTGCCTTTGCAGTGCTTAATGATCCACGGATGCTTCTCAACATCCTCCAGCGCAATGCGCTCCTCAGGATTCAGAACAAGCAACCGCTTAATCAGATCTCGCGCTTCTGGGCTGACATACTTTGGTACCTTGTAGTCTGCCCTTACAATTCTGCACTCGGTCATGGCCGGAGGGTCCTCAAACGGTGCCTCGCCCACCAGGAACTCGTACGTCAACACACCCAGACTCCACAGATCAACCTTGTTGTTGTAGGGAATGCTCTCAGAAGGGCCTTTGATCTTGTTGCGAAGAATCTCTGGTGGGAGATAGTCCAGAGTTCCGCACATTGTTTTGCGGCGGTCGTTGGGTGCATGGACTGACCAACCAAAATCCGAAATCTTGATTTCGCCGTGGATACCGACGAGAATATTCTCAGGCTTGATATCGCGGTGCATGATGTGCTTCTTGTGGAGGTACTTGAGCGCAGCAGCCATTTGGGCAATGTACTGGGCAGCTTTCCATTCCGGGAAGCGCTGTTCCTTGCGGAGATGCTTGTATAGCTCTCCCTTTCCAGCAAACTCCAAAATGAGGAAGATGCGCTTGGCGTCGTGGAAGTGGCCAAACAGCTTCAGGATGTTGGGGTGGGCGAGCTGTGATTGAATCTCAATCTCTCGCCTCACCTGAAGCTCGACCCTGCCTTGTTGAATCTCAGACTTGTGGAGAACCTTGAGCGCACAAACAAAGCCCTTGGAGCGTTCCTTGGCGAGATAAACACGACCAAATTTGCCCTTTCCCAGGGGCTTGCCAATCTCGAACATGCCAAGATGCCATTGTTTGGGTGCTGCCGGATTCCTGGGGACGCTGTAGATGGCCGACTCGGTCTGGGTGCGGCGGTGAGTCGAAACTTGTTGCTCTGACGGCCGGCTGGCGGTCTCTGCAAGGGCGGCCTTGGCCATGTTTGCCGTCTTTGCATTCTGTGTTGCGATCTTCTGCAGTGGCATCTGATGGGGCAGCTTCATGCGGTTGGCTGCTGATTGCGAAGACGATAGACCGGCTACCGATGGCTTGGTCATGTCAGCGGCGATGAACCCGAGTTTGTACCGTGGTTGCATACCTTCTTCGCCTTGGAGTTTGTCGCGCTAGACGCGACCTGGTCTTCGTTCTCATCGTGAATCGTGGTGCGCTCTAGGGCGGCCTCGAGGTTGGCAACGTCGGCCATGACTGCTGCTGATGCCAACACAAACTGTAGCGACAGAAGACAAGTAGAAGCAGGAGAGCGCAACTAATGTCAGTTGCTACACTCAGGCGCGTGGGTGTTGCGTGGAGATGGGGGATGAGTTCCAGGTTCTGGCGGTGGCCTGGCCAGCTAGTTATCAAAATAAGTGGATGCGGCCCGTTGCCATGGGTGACGCCGATCGGGGTGTCGGAGCGCTGGTTCGCGCCCCACCCTAGACCTGCACAGCGCCCCCGCCATGGCCATCCATGTCGACACTTTCGTGAGAGACGACAGTTTGCCTGTGTCGCGTCTGCCGGAAACCCCGCATTGTCGCGTAGAGTCCAGCATCATGACATGTCTCAACGGCGCCCCCGCCGATACTGTGGCGCCCGGCCAGGCCGACACGTCCATCACCAAGGAAGGGTTCAAGATTACTACGCGCAAACTGCCAATCCTCAAGGCTGGCCCCATAGACGACATGACCAAGAAGTTGGGCATAGCGCCGCCAGAGATGATCTTTGGCGACAACATGGTCCGCATAGAGCATGCACAGAGCGGCTGGTACATTGAATTCAACGCCTTCGATGCGCTCGACCGAGTCGACAAGACGGGTGACAAGATGTTCAAGGTCGCATACTCCAAGGAGTGGCAGCAAAACAGGTGAGCTCCGCTAGCCGTGAGAAGCTACACGCGGCTAACACGGGCTAGGCAGAAGCAGTTTGAAGACATCAAAGAAGTTGTAAAGCCTTTTGACTGGTCTTACAGCACCGACTACAAGGGCACTACTCCCTCGACTCCGGCATTCGAACCTACCGAGACACCCATACCGCTTGCCCTACTCAAGCGCCCCGACCCAATAGAGTTTTTCGATGAGCTCGTGCTCTACGAAGATGAGCTGGCAGACAACGGCATTGCCATGCTGTCCTGCAAGGTCCGTGTCATGCCCCAGCGATTGCTCTTGCTGGTACGCTTCTTCATGCGACTGGACGATGTGGTTTTCAGGATGCGAGATACCAGGATATTCATCGAGTTTGGAGACAATGTCGTGCTGAGAGAGTACACTGCAAGGGAAGAGAAGTACGAGGAGGTGCGAAAGAAGCTGGCAGGCAGGAAAGAAGACGTGCTTGCCATTATGCGGGACCCGAATCGATTAGCAGAACATATTCCTATCGTCGAGCACAAGCTAGAGGGGATGCAGCTGAAGTAGGGATTGCTGGGTCAACCTAATCAGCATAAAAATAGAATACGGTATCTCATGCGGGGGAAAACGATATGCCGACATCGAGAGCCGTTCCAAAAATGTATCGGGTAGGCTAGCACATTTGGACAACATAGGGACCCTGCCCAGAGCTAACCCACCAAAAGGGGTCAATCGCAGATGGTAGGCACTGAGACGCGGCTCTGCGGGACCAGCATGGAAGGAATCCTTCTTGAGTGAATCGTAGAACAAGCACAGGTTCACCTTTGTAGGAAAACTACATGAAAGTTTGTCAACTGTAAGCATTCCAAAACACGAACCTAACAAACGTTGCGAGCCGAGACGCGTCATGGGTTAAAGCGGTGAAGGCTCAACAGCAATCTCCTTTGTCTCATGGACGAAATATGAGTCATTTAGAGTCTGCTACTCTGGTACCGTACGAGAAAGATAGGAAAGAGACGGAATGTTGTGGGTCTAGAGTACGTATGATTTGGAAGAGACTCTTATCCGGCCATGTGTTTGGGTTTTCCGGCGCTGGCCACTGTCCTGCTCCTCCAACGGCCCGACTGCATGATGAGTTGGCTTGTGATTGTCCCAATCTGAGTCCATTTCCCACGATACTCAGCGCAGCTTCCTGAAAGCGGGACCGAAATCGATGCCAAACAGCCTATGTCGGTGAAGTTGGGAGGGATTTATCACCTTTGGGTGTGTTACTCTGCTCTGTGGTGATGGCAGACTTCTCTTCATGCGAAAAGCCACATGTCTCTGGCATCCATGTCAAAGCTGACAAGCACATGCACGGCACTGTGGTGCACAGCACATGGCGGAATTTCCTGACAGGATTGCACATGCCAAGCTGAATAGCATAAGCCTATGTACACTTGTCATCGCGCACGACTTGTGTGCCAGTTTTATGCTTGACGATAAAGGCGTGTTATATGTAAGTGCTTGGCCGGACAAGGACTGCATGTGAAGGTGGGATATCAGACTGTTGAGAGCGCTAAGTCCGTGGGTGAATGGCCAGCTTGCGTAGTACTTACTTTCGCTCCAAACGACGCGGGCGAACAGCCGTCACAGAAGTAAGCAAGCCGTGTCTCTGCGTCGTCAGTATGTGCGGCAGTTCGTCCGATGTGTCTCAACCTGTCAGCGCTCGTATGCACAGCCACATGGTTTGGGATATGTGGAGCGATAGAAATATCTCGCAGGCATAGGAACGCGAAGGAGGCTGACGGTGCCAGTGCTGCGGGTTGATGAGACGAGATAACGGAGTCTCGGATGCTTCGGGAGTTCGGGACTCCAGGCTGTGGTACAGAGGTGCAAGGGGGAGTGTCAGGGCTGGCGAGTGAAGGGCACGGCACGCGCATCCCCGCGACGCTTTCGTCCGAAACGAGTAAGCGCACGATCGCTGGCAAGGATGGACACGCAGGCCATGCCCAACCATACAACGCTACTCCTGTGCGAGTCGCAACAATTGCCTTTTGCAAACAAGAACTCACATTCTGACCGTCACTGGAGACTCGACTGTATTTGGGTTTGGCTGTGGAATACCTCGCACTGCGCAAGGCAACTATGGCGCTCGGGCTTACTTGGACACACCTCCGACATGCGTCATCTTACACTGGAGATCGACCAGAACATCCTGGGCACCTACTAGGACATCCCGGTGCTGACAAGGCCTCGAACAACGCGCTGCTACTGACGATGGGATACGCAGCCCGAGAATACCGGCCCCGACCCACTTGTCCGACGCACTCGCCCTTTGGCTTGGGCTATTTGCTGGATCTGGTTCGAATAATCTCGTCCGACAATACGCTGGCTGGTCCAAGAGCTAACCGCGGACTTGACAAGGCTCGGCCGACAGAGGTGCTATGGCCGCATCCGTAGATTCAGGCAATGGCTACAAGCATTGATATGCCTGCTTGTCCCTGACGAACAGGAGCCTTTAGACTCACCGATCTGACTTCACAGGCCGACAACAGCTGTTGCAACTCACAATGGCTACCAACTCGAACGGTGAGGCCGCCATAATCAACATGTCAAGCGATCCATCACGACAACACACAAGCGTCTCGCGCCAAAATGAACAACAACAACAACAAGAAGAGATGATACCGCTCGAGCAGATCGCCACCTCCAATTCATCCGCTTCTTCAGACACACGAGCCGAGAACCATGACCAGTCGACAAAAGCGCGCAGAGTAGAAACATCCTCATCCGAATATGACGCCTCAAGAGCCCTCCATCGCCGCATCACCCGGTCAGAGATTGATGATGCGGGAAGACAAGAACTGTCACGCATCTTCTCAACGGTTTCCCAGGGTGTGACACGGCAAATGAGCGTCGCGGCACCAGGCGACCCGGCAGTCGACCCCACCAATGCTGCTTTCGACCTCAGCAAATTCCTGCACATGTTCCGCCACCAGCTCGAGGGCGAGGGCATCGAAATGAAAAAGGTCAGCGTCGTCTACAAGAACCTGAATGTTTTCGGCTCCGGCAAAGCTCTCCAGCTGCAGAGCACAGTAGCAGATGTCTTCATGGCCCCTTTCCGAGCCAAAGAATTTTTTGGACAATCCGAACGCAGGCAGATCTTGCACTCATTCGACGGCATAATTCGCGCAGGCGAGCTCTGTGTGGTGCTTGGTCGCCCGGGCTCCGGTTGTTCCACGCTGCTCAAGTCTCTGACTGGCGAGTTATACGGTCTCGAGACAGACGACTCCATCATTCACTACAACGGTGTTCCTCAGAACCTCATGCGCAAGGAGTTCAAGGGCGAGACTGTCTACAACCAGGAAGTTGACAAGCACTTTCCTCACTTGACTGTCGGCCAAACACTCGAATTTGCTGCTGCAGTCCGAACGCCATCGAATCGCCCCGGCGGAGTCAGCCGAGATGAGTTTGCCAAGTTCATGGCTAAGGTAGTCATGGCCGTTCTTGGACTGTCGCACACCTACAACACCAAGGTTGGAGACGACTTCGTGCGTGGTGTTTCTGGTGGTGAGCGCAAGCGTGTCTCAGTTGCTGAGATGATGTTGGGTGGATCTCCCTTCGCTGCGTGGGACAACTCGACACGTGGTCTTGACTCAGCTACAGCTTTGAAGTTTGTCAATGCTCTGAGAGTCAGCTCTGATATGACTGGTGGTGCAGCCGCCGTTGCCATCTATCAGGCCAGTCAGAGCGTTTACGACTGCTTTGACAAGGCCGCAGTCCTCTACGAAGGACGTCAGATCTACTTTGGCCCCGCGGACCAAGCCAGAGCCTATTTCGAACGTCAAGGATGGTAAGATGACTTCAGCATCAGTTTTGATATCTCACTGACATGGCTTAGGCATTGCCCCCCTCGACAGACTACTGGAGATTTCCTCACGGCCGTTACCAACCCGGAAGAGCGAAGACCTAGGGAAGGTATGGAGCACATGGTTCCTCGTACCCCTGAAGAGTTTGAGAAGTATTGGCGCGACTCCCCTGAGTACCAGGCCTTGCTCCAAGAGATTGCGGAGTTTGAAGCAGAAAACCCAATCAATGAGCATGCTACAATTGAGCAGCTCCGTCAACAGAAGAACTACATACAGGTTAGTCTCCCAAAAGGTTCCCTTGATACAACACTGTTCTAACTTGCTCTTCAGGCCAAGCATGCTCGGCCAAAATCACCCTACCTCCTCAGTGTTCCTATGCAGATCAAGCTCAACACACGACGAGCATACCAGCGCATCTGGGGTGACATGGCATCGACATCCACACAGGCTGGTATCAATGTCGTCATCGCTCTCATCGTTGGTTCCATCTACTACGGTCATTCCGCTGGCTCGAACTCATTCCAAGGACGCGGCGCCGCCATTTTCCTGGCTATTTTGACCAGCGCTATCGGAGCTATTGGTGAAATTGCTGGTCTCTATTCGCAACGCCCCGTGGTTGAGAAACACAGCTCATACGCGTTTTATCATCCGTCTACCGAAGCCATGGCAGGAATCGTCGCCGACATACCCGTCAAGTTCGTTCAGGCTGTAGTCTTCAACGTCATTCTGTACTTTTTGGCTGGCCTACGGTATACTGCCGGACAGTTCTTCCTGTTCTTTTTGGTTACATACATGGCAACCTTCATCATGACTGCCCTTTTTCGAACGGCTGCTGCGATTACCAAGACTGCATCGCAAGCCATGGCGTGTGCTGGTGTCTTGATCCTGGTCCTGATTGTCTACACTGGTTTCGTCATTCGTATTCCGCAGATGCCAGACTGGTTTGGCTGGATCCGATGGATCAACCCCATCTTCTACGCTTTCGAAATTTTGCTCGCCAACGAGTTCCATGGGGTCAATTTCCCTTGTGATCAGTTTGTCCCTTCAGGGCCTGGCTACTCTCTCAACGGCAACCACTTCATCTGCAACGTCCAAGGCGCTATTGCTGGACAAACTTTCGTCAGCGGTGACCGCTTCATCGAAGTATCCTACTCATACAAGTGGAGCCATGTGTGGCGCAACTTTGGCATCCTCTGGGCGTTTTTGATCTTCTTTATGGCCACATACTTTCTGGCTACAGAGCTGAACTCTTCCACGACCAATACCGCCGAACAACTGGTCTTCCGCCGCGGACAAGTTCCTGCATATATGCTGCCTGGCGGAAAACAGTCAGACGAAGAATCGGGCGAGACCAAGAGGGAAAAGGAAGCCGGTGCTGGTGATGTGAGCGCTATCGAAGAGGCAAAGGGTATCTTCACTTGGCGAGACGTTGTTTACGACATTGAGATCAAGGGCGAGCCACGACGTTTACTCGATCACGTTTCTGGTTATGTCAAACCCGGTACTATGACTGCACTCATGGGAGTTTCTGGAGCCGGAAAGACGACACTTCTGGATGTGCTTGCCCACAGAACAACCATGGGCGTCATCACTGGTGATATGTTTGTAAATGGCAAGCCGCTGGACCCTTCGTTCCAACGCTCCACAGGCTATGTGCAGCAGCAGTAAGTTCTTGTGTTTGATGCGTTTCTTTCTGGGTGTTAACAAATGTTAGGGATCTCCATCTTGAAACCTCTACTGTCCGCGAGGCATTGCAGTTCTCCGCCATGCTTCGACAGCCAGCGTCTGTTAGCAAGCAAGAAAAGCTCGACTATGTTGAGGAGGTCATCAAGATGCTCAACATGACTGACTTTGCCGAGGCGGTTGTTGGTGTTCCTGGCGAGGGTCTTAACGTGGAACAACGGAAACTCTTGACTATCGGTGTTGAACTCGCTGCGAAGCCCAAGCTCCTTCTTTTCCTTGACGAGCCTACTTCCGGTCTCGACTCGCAGGTCAGTACCCACTTCCGTCGGAGATTGATGTCGATAAGGCGAATGTTTACTAACTCGAGTGCAGAGTGCATGGTCTATTGTCGCTTTCCTTCGCAAACTCAGTTCCGCCGGCCAAGCAATCCTCTGCACGATCCACCAGCCTAGCGCCATCCTTTTCCAAGAATTCGACCGCCTCTTGTTCCTTGCCCGTGGTGGCAAGACTGTATACTTTGGTGAACTGGGCAAGAACTCGCGGACCCTGCTGGACTACTTTGAGTCCAACGGAGCTAGAGAGTGCGGTGAAGACGAAAACCCGGCTGAATACATGTTGGAAATTGTAAATGCAGGCAAGAACGACAACGGCCAAGATTGGTTCGACGTATGGAAGCAAAGCCCGCAAGCGCAAGACGTCCAGAGACAAATCGACGAGCTGCACGAATCCAAGAGGGAGCAACTTGGTCTGGGTGAAGAAACCGCTGATGGCGAATTCGCTATGCCATTGTCGGTGCAGATCTGGGAATGCACTTACCGTGCTTTCCAGCAGTACTGGCGCATGCCCAGCTACGTGCTAGCCAAGTTCGGACTCTGTACCGTTGCCGGTCTCTTCATTGGGTTTTCGTTCTACCAAGCCAACACGACTCAAGCCGGCATGCAGACGGTCATCTTCAGCGTCTTCATGATAACTACAATCTTCTCGTCGCTTGTGCAGCAGATCCAGCCTCTCTTCATCACCCAACGGTCTCTGTACGAGTCTCGCGAAAAGCCATCCAAGGCATACAGCTGGGTTGCCTTTATGTTTGCCAACATTGTTGTGGAGATTCCGTACGGCATCGTCGCAGGTATACTGGTCTTTGCGTCCTTCTACTACCCCGTAGTTGGCGCGAACCAGTCGAGCGAGCGCCAGGGCCTCGTCCTGCTCTTATGCATGCAGATGCTCATCTACACATCGACGTTTTCTGACATGACGATTGCTGCACTTCCCGATGCGACAACAGCTGCGGGCCTTGTCTCGCTGTTGGTTCTTATGAGCACTCTGTTCAACGGTGTGCTGCAAGCGCCTAACAACCTTCCTGGTTTCTGGATCTTCATGTACCGCGTCAGTCCTTTTACATACTGGGTTGGCGGCATGGTCAGTACCATGCTATCTGGGCGCCAGGTTCACTGCAGCGCTACCGAAATGTTGGTTTTCGACCCACCGTCTAACCAGACGTGCGGTGCCTATTTATCCAGCTTCGCTGCAGCCAAAGGCGGCAACATCCAAAACCCCGATGCCACAGCGGGCTGTCAATACTGCACCTACAGCAACACGGACCAGTTCCTGGCGCTCTCGAGCATCTACTACAGCGAGCGCTGGCGCAATTTCGGCATCATGTTTGCGTTTATCGGATTCAACGCGTTTATTGCGGTTCTTTCGTACTACCTCTTCCGCGTCGCGAGCCTGGATTCGTTGAAAAAGGCTTTCAGCAAGCCCAAGGGAGGAGCGAAGAAGGGGGCTGCGCAGGGTGCCTAGGCTGGAGAAGGGACCGGAGGGAATAATACCGCAACTGCTTGCATCGACTTATGATAGCAGAATGAATACATAGACACATGGCTGCAATGGCTTTATACATAGTAATATAAATTTCTTTTTACATGTACTCACCAAGCATATATGCATCTTGTGGCTAGACGTGCCAATCTTTGCCGTATTTGCCTTGGATGCGGTACATGCGTAGCCCATGCATCGCCCTCGCACGTGTGCAATAGTGTAGTGTATGTGCGTAGTGAGTAAGCTTCTAGGCGGTGCGCCTTGCCCCTGCTTCGGGATGATGCAGTCCCGGGTTGTCGGTACGCATCCGACGGGTGTTGGGTAACGTCATGCTCGCTTCTCGCCGCCATCGTCAGCCGTGGATCGCGTTTTGATTGGCCGCCCCCTTCCTTGCGTACTTGTAGCGGGCATGGCCGAACTAGCCGGGGCCTTGGCCTTTTTTTTGTGTAAACGTCTTTTCTTGCACGTGAGCTGAGAGCTAGCGAGCAACTCGGCACACGTAGCCGTCGGAGAATAGCTATGTATGTAAGCTGGGTTTGGTTGCTCCGACGACGCCCACATCACGCCGTCATTGTTTTTTTCACGATCGCTCTGGATGGACCCGATTGGGCCCCACTTGGTGTCGAGCAGTATTCTGTTGGGCTCCGGACTGCCATGTATGTATGGCCGATGGTGTGTTTGTATGTGGGCGACGGAGGGTCGAATCGGCTGATTGCTCGCAAACGGGTATGCGCATGGCGGGGGAACAAGTGTTACTGTGGACGGAATTCGGAACCGCGTCTCTTGTCTTGTTGCCGTGCTGGGTTGCCGTGCTTGTCCGAAAGAGCAAACAGGAGTCGAGTTGAGTCGTGCTTTGGTCCAAGTCGGTTGAGCTGCATACAGCCTGCATGAGTAAAATAACCCGCCAGGCGTCTGTTGGGACAGGAAAGCCCACGATCAACAGGGTCTGGCGTCTGCCCTTTTTGCTTCGTCATGAGCTCATTGGACTACCGAGACGCACCCAAGTCGACAATCGCCAACAGACTTAGCTTCCTTATTGCCGCCTTGTATCCCCCAGATCCGGAGCCCCCCGAAGAAGAGCCTCAGGCACGGCATAACGCGCGCTTGTCGCGCTATGTGATGTGGTTCCCCGCTGAAAAACGGCCATGTCTATTGATCCAAGTGCCCCAGGACATGTTTTCCTGTTTTACTCGCTGCCAAGGCGGCTATGGACTATTCTGAACATATCAACATATGTGCAAGCCTATGCACCGCAATGCATGGCCAAGTGCGGCCATGTCGGGAGCAGCTATGCGCATCTGCTGGTCTCCAGCCAGTGGGCAGACATTTTTCTTCTTCTTCTCCTCTTCTCAGGCTAGAAAAGCACCACTTGACCTGACGATCCTAACTGGATTTGAGGGCCAACTTCGGCACACAACGTCGTTGCGGGGAAGACAAGGCTTGGGGTGGAGCGCTGGAGCCGATCGCCATGTGACAAGAGATGAAGACTGGGGGCCGTGGCCAGGATGCGTTGCCCGTCTAGGCCTAGCGCCTTCCACAAAGACACCACACCTCCCGGCGCTTGCGTTGATGCGAGCAAAAAAACTTCAACATCCCTATGGACCTCGTGACGAAGACTCAGCTTGTACGTACACCTAACTCGTCGGGGCCGCGTCCTTCACTCGGCTATACGAGCGCCCTTCTACCATGCCCCGCTGCATGGGCGGTCCAAAGCACCTGTGTTGTCGTAAGAGACGGATTTCCCCGGACACTAGACGAGTCGCTGCTGTGAGGGGCGCCAGCAGCAGCCGGGTACTGTGCGGAGGTGGACTATGGGGAAGTGTCTGTTTTGACGTTACGCCTACTCGAGCCTCACGACAAAGCCTGCAAAAGGAAAAGGCTTCCCAACAAGGTAGCGTAGCGTAGGCTTGGTGGAAATAAGCAGACAAGCCGCATTCCTCGGGAGAGACGTACCGAGAGCTATGGCTTGCCGTCGGAGCGGGCGCGAGCAGCTTGGTTGTTGTCTCGAGTCATTTATTCATCCAATGGTCGCAATCCCCGCAAATCCTCACGAGCTGCGAGTCAGATGCTGTGGTGCTCTACTCCGACTTATTGACGGGCAGTCTCCACATCCATCTGCCGAGGTGCATATGCCTGTAGAACCGCCACCTTGGCAGTCACGTCGCGGCCTTGAAATGACGTCTTTGCTGGCATCTACCAGCATCATTTTGGCATGGGGCGAGCTTGTGGAGACTCCGCATCCCGGACGGGTAAACTTCGGAACATGGCCTGGTTGCATCGTGGACCTCTGAGCATGTTAGCCCGGACTGTTGAGTTGCTCTGGGGCGGATGAGGGCAGTCCGGGGGGCCTACACAGCGAGTGCTGGCATGCATGTATAAAGGTACCTCCGACCCACGAGCATGCTCGGTATTCAGGCTTTCGACTCCCCTTCGATTATCCAGAATCATGGCGCCTTCCGTTCTATCCGCCGTGCTTTCGGGCTCTGCCCTATTGGCTGCAGTCAATGCTCAGAACTTTGCTGGTGGTGGCCGTGGTGAAGAGGCTTTCAAGTATGTTCAGCCGCTTAACACCACCATCCTGACCGAGTATGGCTCCTCGCCCGCGGTGTACCCTTCACGTAAGTCTTGCTTGAACTATCAATAAAAGATCCGAACAGGTCTAATGCCTAGTAGCAAAGACGACTGGTGCCGGTTGGGAGATGGGCGTTGAGAAGGCGAAAGCTTTCATTGCTAAACTTACTCTCGAGGAGAAGGCTGATATGGTCACCGGCCAAGCCGGACCTTGTGTTGGCAACATTGTTGCTGTTCCTCGTCTGGGCTTCCCTGGTCTTTGTCTCCAGGATGGTCCTCTTGCCTTCCGTGTGGCTGACTACGCAAGCGTCTTCTCCGCCGGTGTGTCTGCCGGAGCCACATGGGACAAGGACATCATGTATGAACGCGGTTATGCTATGGGCCAAGAGTTCAGGGCAAAGGGAGCTCACGTTATGCTGGGCCCCGTTGCAGGACCTCTTGGACGTTCCGCCTACGCCGGCCGCAACTGGGAGGGCTTCTCCTCAGACCCTTACCTCAGCGGTGTAGCCATGGAGCAGACCATCTTGGCTGCTCAGGACGCAGGTGTGCAATCTTGCGCTAAGCATTGGGTTGGCAATGAGCAAGAGATTATGCGCAACCCTACCTACATGACCAACGACACAACCGCGCAGAAGCAGGCTGCTATTTCATCCAATATCGATGACCGCACTATGCACGAGCTCTACATGTGGCCATTCGCCAACGCTGTCAAGGCTCGCGCTGCCAGCTTCATGTGCTCGTACCAGCGAATCAACGGATCCTACGGATGCCAGAACTCTGCTTCGCAGAACGGTCTGCTCAAGACTGAGCTTGGTTTCCAAGGATACGTCATGTCCGACTGGGGTGCGACTCACTCGGGTGTTGCCTCGATCGAGGCCGGTCTTGACATGGACATGCCTGGAGGTCTCGGTGCTTACGGCATGAACTTTGGCGTCCCATCATACTTTGGCGGCAACATTACTATGGCTGTCAACAACGGTACTCTGAACGAGTCTCGCCTCGACGACATGGTTCTCCGTATCTTGACCCCTTACTTCCAGCTCGGCCAAGACAAGGACTTCCCATCCGTTGACCCTTCGACTGCTGATCTCAACACTTTCTCTCCTCGCAGCACCTGGACCCGCGAGTTCAACCTAACTGGCGAGGTCAGCCGTGATGTCCGCGGCAGCCACGCCGAGTTGATCCGTCGCCACGGTGCTGCCGGCACTGTTCTGCTGAAGAACGAGGGTCGCACCCTGCCTCTCAAGGCTCCCCGCAATGTTGCAGTCTTTGGAAACGATGCTGGAGACCCAGTCCGCAGCTCTGTCATCAACCAGCAGAACTACGAATTCGGCAGTCTGTTCTCTGGTGGTGGCTCTGGTACCGGTCAGTTCACCTTTATGGTTTCGCCACTTTCTGCCATCCAGCAGCGTGTTAAGAACGACGGTGGTATCGTTCAGTACTTCTTGAACAACACCTACATCGCCAACAACAACGTCAGCACCCTGCTTATCCCACGCGGTATCCCCGATGTCTGCATTGTCATGCTCAAGACCTGGGCCGAGGAGGGCAATGACCGCTCTCACCTCGCATCTGACTGGGATGGTGATGACGTTGTCGAGTCCGTTGCATCCTACTGCAACAACACCGTTGTCGTTACCCACTCAGCTGGTATCAACACCCTGCCATGGTCCGACCACCCCAACGTCACCGCCATCGTGGCCGCCCACTTCCCTGGTGAAGAATCCGGCAACTCTCTCGTCGACATCCTCTACGGCGACGTCAACCCCTCTGGCCATCTCCCCTACACCATCGCGATGCAGGGCAACGAGTACAACGCTCCTCCCACCACCGAGATCCAAACCGACGGCTTCTACGACTGGCAAAGCTGGTTCGACGAGAAGCTTGAAGTCGACTACCGCCACTTTGACATGCACAACATGTCTGTGCGCTACGAATTCGGTTTCGGTCTCTCCTACACCACCTTCTCCATCGCAGACATCAAGTCGTCTCCTCTCGAGCAAAACATCGCTTCCCACCCAGAGAACCTGCCCATCCAGCCCGGCGGCAACCCCGCTCTCTGGGCATCTCTCTACAACGTCACCGTTTCTGTTTCCAACACGGGCGATGTCGCCGGCGCCGCTGTGCCCCAGCTCTACGTCGGTCTTCCCTCCTCCGCCCCTGCCGGCACCCCCGTGCGCCAGCTCCGCGGCTTCGAGAAGGTGTACCTCGAGAAGGGCGAGACGCAGAGCGTCACCTTTGAGCTCATGCGCAGGGACCTGAGCTACTGGGACATCGTCAGCCAGCAGTGGGTCATCCCCGAGGGTGAATTCACCATCTGGGTTGGCCACAGCAGCCGTGACTTGAAGGTCAAGGATACCTTTACTGTTGTTTCACAGTAAACAGTAAAATAGTGGGGGTTTTTTTTTCGCGAGCTTCATGATTAAGCAATAAAGAAATGTGATATGAGTATATGAATAGATAGCTTAATACTATTGTCTACTATAATTATTGTTTTGTGTTGTGTTGTTGATTACTATTCATGAAAAGCCGTGACTCTTGGTATGTAAATCAATGAGATTGTAACAAGATAATGTACTGTATTCCCAGTGCGAAGTCCTCGAACAGCAATGATAAAGCTATACAAGCAAGAACCCCCACATCCCCAATCCCAATCCCACATAGTTTACCGAGAAACTGGTTCCCCGCGCCAGCAAGGTTGGTGGCGTTGGCAGAACCCTGAAACACTGGGTCCTATTGTAAGCACCCCAATGCAGACTAGGGGGTTAGTAAACATCCCAACTACTTGGGTAGAGCAGTATTAGTGCCCGTTTTCCCCGCAGTCCAATCATGTGGGGCCGGTGTGGACGACATGCGGTACAACATGCGGTACGTCGATTTACATGCGAATGGAAGGACTTGGTACTGCTATGGCTTTGATGGTGGTGATGATGATGATGATGAAGGGTATTTTATTAATGCTAAGCCCATAGTACCAACTTCTCATAAGTATAGTGAGGCGATATCGACAGTAAGCTAGGAAGAAACTTCTCACCCTTTTTTCTTGTTCGTTCCATGGAGAAGGGAGGAAGAAGATTGCAAAGGTAAGACAAGAAGAGTATATTGATCCGTGTCCAGAGAATAAAACAGATTAAGTGTTTGGAGACTTATTGGCAACTGCTCTTCAAGCCTGGGGAGAATTTCCGGTCATAAGAGCAGCCTTGGCTGGGATTCCAGAAAGCTGCAAAGTAGCCTTCTGCTATATTCACTTTGAAAGAGACGTCACTTCAATAGATCGATGACGGGCGGCAGACATCTTCTAGAATCAAGATATCCTCAATGGGGTCCCACGCAGACTTTTCATCTTGTGATGTCTGCTGTAATTGACCCAAGGAGTGTTGTTGCCAGGGGTCATATCTGAAGAATGTCCGTACGGAATGTACCGATTTACAGAAACAGGGACTTTCGAAAAGGGTATGCAAGAACAAATTTGCATGATTTCTGTTCAAGGCGGCCTCGTCGTACATAAGCTTCATCGTGCTCAATCTGATCCTTCTGCACGTTGCGTCAAGAGGCGCAAGGCTGCTGCCTCGGACTGTTATTTCAGTGTCTCTGGAAGTTACAAGCGAGCCTAGGTACCAAATCCGAATATCGCTAGTTCTTGAATTCTTCGTCATCGTCTTCTTCAAGTTCCGGTTCCAGTGATCCATCCAACACTTCAGCGTCTTCCCATTCGAAGTCGAACCATAATCCTGGGAATATTTCCTCTGGCTCTAGATAGCCACTGTATCGAGTCCATATACCCAGAGATGTCAACAATCAAGCTGAGTCAAGCTCATCAATCAAGCTGGATTGACTCAACGGTCAAGCTGAGTCAAGCCAAGCTCATTAAGCTGTATCAAGCTGTATCAAGCTCGTCAAGCTCATCAAGCTGAGCTTGATAGAGCTTAATGAGCTTGATACGCCCGTGCGTAAAAAAAGAAGAATAACTATAAACTCCTTTACGTAGGCTACTAATCTATAGTAACGTTAACTCTTACCTCTATCTCTAATACTATACGTGTCAATTTATTATATATATCTTCTTATCTTACCAATTTCTTAATTGCAAGCATGCCACCAAAAAGACGCGTCCAAGCTATTGTTGCTACCCCACCGAAGCGGTCTCGGGGCGTGCCCCGCGGTACTCTAAGCCAGCCTATATCTATCGAAAGCCCGGCCATC